CCCCCCCCCCCCCCCCCCCCCCCCCCCCGCCTCTCTCTCTCTCCCCGCCCCGCACGCTACAAAAAACAAAGAACTGTTTCTTTTTTTCCCCCTTTCTGTATTCAGTGTCAACCTGAAATCGATGAACCCCGGCCTTGTAGCAGCGAACAGGCGTTTGTTTGGGCTACCCCCAAATGTGGAAGCCCTGTGGCCCAACACTGGCCCAAGTACTGGTGATTTACACACCACTGCGAGATCTCAACTACTTCCTTTTCATGGCTACACCCTGATATGAGAACATGACCTGCATTGACCGAAAAGAAAAGGGGCACCGACAAAAAACCAAAAAGTGCTGGCTTTGCAGTGCAACAAGTGCCAACAACCACAATTCCTTCCAGCCAGCCGGCGTTGCTGAGACATTGTATTTATTGAACAACTGCGAAAGGCCTTTGCTGAGACATTGTATTTATCGAGCACATGACCTGCTGCAACCAAAAGAGTCTACTTTCCATACCGCTTGTTTCCTGTGTACTTCTACATCGGCGGAGCAAGGCAAACGAGACAAAGAAGAACAAACACTAAAATGATGCAACCGGGGGTAAACAAAAGGCCGGAAACGACAGGAATGGGAGAAAGATGAAAGGCCCTGAAACAACAAGAACGGGGGAAAACGAAAGGCCCGACGCAACAACAACGCGATGGTAAAAAATGAAAACAAATGAAAGCCATAACACGACCAAAGAAAACATGAAAAAAGCTCGGTCCTCTGATGCTACTGGCTGAGACCTGCCCTCATGGTACCTTCCCGGGCAAGCTTGCGCCCGCCACCTAGAGATAGGCCGTTGCTCCCCCCGAGTGGCATTGAGCGGAGACTGCTGATATTCATCGGGGTAGGGGGGACCAGAAAGGCACATCGACTGGCCCATCCCAGAAGCTCGGTCCTGTTGCTACTGGCTGACCCCTGGCCAGTATAGCCCACCTGCTGGCTGTAGCAGGTATCACACCTGCTGGTGGGTGCAGCTCCCACATGTTCCCTCGTTTGAGGCTCGAGCACGGATGTGGCTGCTACAGGGAGCACAGATGTGTGGCTGCCACTGGGTTCCTCATAATACTAGGACAATAAAAAAAGGCCTGACTCGTAATCCTCAGACAATAAAAAAAGGCCTGAGAGGCCGTCCTGTCCAGATTAGACAGGTAATTGCAATTGGTTGGGCTAGAAAGAATTAGGTTTTACAAAAATAATCCAAAAAAGCCCAGCGCTTCGCTGGACGGACGAGCGGTCCCACCGAGGACTGCACCTCCCCCGGTGTGGTTCCACGTATCAGCTGGTCCTGTGGCAAGGACCGCTGGTCGCTCTGGTAGTATCGTAGATTATAGATATAGAGAAGTTGCGGACACAGGACCCACAGCAGCACAAGCTGATTACCACGTCTCAAATCTATGGAGAGTTCATAAAACACAGTAAAAGTGCGTGGGACGGCGGGCGGAGAGTTCATAGAACAGTGCAAGAGAGTGCAATATAGGACAGCGGGAAGAAATGGGAGGAATTCGAACTGATCAACAGGTGTAGAGGTGGGAAAGGGGACATGCAACTCATGGAAACATGTCAGAGATCACAGACTAGCTCCTTGCCCTCCATCACAACCTCATTGCCCTCCATCTTGTCCTTGCTCTCTCACCCTCCTTCCTGCCCTACCTGCATACCTACCACCTTCATAATCCACTTGCTCCCAAGCACGCCCTCTCTCTCTCTCTCTCTCTCTCTCTCTCTCTGCTGTCCAAGCAGTCCTTACGCTCGTGCTTGTGAGCACAATGAAAACTTTTGTACCTACTGATGCCTGAACTGAACAGACCTAGAAGTCCCCAGCATACACCTCTTTGTAGGTGTCTGTCTCCATCTTTTCGAGGTATATATCATGCTCTGCAAACGAAGATGCAAAGCATTTCCACAGTATGAAGGATGGGCTACGCACAACACCTTCACTACTTGACGATGCAGTTCCCACGGTTCACAGAGAGACAGTCGTGAAGTCTGGGATATCAAGTAGAGACTAAATATACATGCAAGACAAGCCAAGGAAGTAGCACTGTGTGGATCATTTTGTGAACAAGATAAACCTCTTTCTGAGCGGAAAAAATTCAATGCGCGGTCACAAATAGAATGCAGAACAACCACAGCTTCCCATCATCGATTTCACGGGTGGCGAAGGCGTGGAGACAAACTCGAGCATAGTGTTGTGGTCTTTCAGCAAATTTCTCCGCAACAAACATTGTGTTGTCGATTCAGAAAAGTGCCGAAAGATTGAATGAATGCCCCGGCAAAGTCACACAGGGGAGCGCTGAGCAGTGAGCACACCTTCTGTGTGAAACTGGCATAAGCACCAACCAAAAGTGTACACTGATCTGGCAAAATGCACCGAGTCCCTCGCTCATCCCATAAGGAAAGATGGACACAAAAACATAGGCTCACAAAATGAAAACCAGAGATCAGAGGTGATAATGCTTCGTGTCCAGAATGCCAGACATATCCAACACGTCTAACAGAAACTTACAGTGACGGAAACTACACATGGTTCAGTAAGCAGTGATGTCAGAGCTTCTGAAAAGATGACATGCAGATCATCAAATGTGCATCGTAGCACCTCATACACAAATATGACACTATGCACAAAATGTTTCCTGTCGCATGTGCACACGCATGTAAGAGAGAGAGAGAGAGAGAGAGAGAGAGAGAGAGAGAGAGAGAGAGAGAGAGAGAGAGAGAGA